GACTGAGTTGGGGAATATGCAATTGAATTGCTTTCTATATAAGCATAACAGAATCCTATTGATGCTCATCAAAAAAAGGCTACGAGATTCTGATTTATTTTTTTCTTGTGATGGTGATCATCACAACGCAAGTAATGCCCTAGTTACTACTAACATCTACTTTTGTATCCCTTTAATTCTACGTTTTAATCATGAATCTTTAAATTTAATATTAAAAAGCATAACTAAAAGCTTTCAAAAGTGTTTTCAACTGGAATTCTGAGAGCTTTTTCTCCATCTGTCCTGTTACGAGAGTATACAGGTATGCGAACTCTGAAGTTTCAGTAGCAGTAGTGTTGGTTCTACGGGGTGTGGTTGCTGACCTCATACTCAGCCTTCTCCTTCTTCCGAGCCTACTGCCAACTGGTAAGCTAGTTGAGGTTGAGGTGCTTACCAACCGTGGACCGAACGCGGACATCCTGAGTGAGGAGCATTCTAGCACTGTGTCAGCACTTAAACTCAGTACAAAAGTTTTTAACTGTTGGAGTATTATCTACTTACCTAGTAGTGCGCAAAACGTCCAGTTCAGTAAACATTATTTTGCCAATGGAATATTTTAATCATCTCATATAATCAAGTTCTGCAATGAAATGATCAACCTCTGTAATAAATGGTTGGAGGCAGTCAATTGCAAACCATGGACTTAGACTTCATGCCTGCTGGCGTTTTTCAGCAAGGTGTGTCTGCAATCTTCAAGGAACTCATGTTCTCTCTGATATTCGAACCCACTCGATCCAATGTTGCAGTGAAAGTTATTACCACTTAGCTATTCGGGTTGGCGCCATGATGTCTAGCCAGCTAACTTGACTGATAGAATTCAGTCTGTACCAAACCAAGGATTGGATGAATGATATTGTTTTCCACCCACTCATCAGTCAAAGCAATCTCTGTGTATTAATGTCATGAAAGTATTTGGATCAAGAGACAGTTTTTCAACAGACAGTTCACTTCTAGAAATGAACAGCAGAAAAGACTAAACACCTCTCTAATTTAAAATGTTTATATGCAAGAGAAACTGTCTAAAATCGCAGTAAATGTTTCGTTAAATTCAAAGTTGTATACCATAGGTTTGACTGAATTCTATCCGAAGTAATGATATATCTTGCCCATGGAACAAGAATAAGTACATTTCTAAAAAAATGTTAAGAAATTTGTCTCTCTTGGGCCCTTAAACGCTAACCACAGAAACAGATTTTCATTATTGCTTGCTTTTCAATGGTTTCCTAACTGATGTTAGTTTAAATACACGAAGGACATCTCAGAATGTCACACAACTTAATGGTCATCACGTTTTATATCTTAGTAAAGAAGAAAGGGATTTCTTGAGAAGACCAGTTTAACATAAGTTAATTATCATACAAAAATATTTGCTAATTGCGTTCAAAGGAACCTAATAAACTTGCAGCATAATACTAAACATAATGGTAGCCAACATTTATGATATGTTACTGTTGTTAGAGTTCAGGTGTCCAGAACTAGCCTATGAGTCACATATAAGATGAATTAGGTGAAGTGGGATTCGGATCCATGACCCTATAAATGTTTAGTTCATAGAATTATCCAACAAACAGTAAGATAGAGATGTCTAGAAAAGTTTCTTACTCAAAGATAATGAAGTACTCAGTATTATTCTACATTATGTTTTTTTCTCTACATTTGTAAAATGACGCACCTTCAAGTTTTATACATCACTGTTTTTACTTTATTTCTTCTTTATACTATTGACTTCTAACATATCAAAACGTCAGTGGTCCAAATCAAATATCATGAGACATGCTAAAGCAAAACAAAAGAGTGTTATTTCGATGTGGTTGCGTTCTATGAGCTAGATAGTTAATTTGCGAAGCTTTCATCGCCCTACTAGGCGACATCTTCAGCGCATACTTCAATTTGAAGTGAGCTTTTAGATTTCTTCACGAGTTTATTAATCATCTCCCCCGGTGGCCTTGGACGTGATTGGTTGTTTTTGTGTGTTTTCAAACCCTCTAGGCTACTTGTATTGGAACTGATTGTTTCTTTGACTTGAACTTTGACCCTTTGTGTGTGAGGTTTCTTTCTTATCGGTTGATAAATTTTGTCAATCTCGATGTGTCTATTGATTGATGATTCACTGGAATACCAGGATTCTAAAAATTCTCTAGCATTTTTGTTATTTCCTCTGTCTAATATTTGAACGTCGGTTGTCCCAGTCGAAATGATGTCCATGGTTGACTGTATATAGTGATATGAGGGAGTGGATGTCATGTCTTTGGATGGCAAGCTTGTGTTCGTGGATATGAAGACGAAGGGGACGTCCACTTTGGCCAATGTAGTGTTTTTTGAGGTCGTTACAATTTATTTTGTAGATGATGTTGGTTTTGTCTTCTTTCGCTGTTGAGTCTTTTGGTTGACATAGAACTGAGTGAACTGATTTTGTTGGTTTGTGTGCGACGTCAATTCAAATCTTCTCCATCATATCTAAAACAGTGTTATATTTTTCTTAGGTCAAACATGATGAATCAAACCAGATCCTCTCTTCAAAGGATTCCTCTAAAACTTTATGTAACATAAAATGGTAAAGACAAACAATGGTTTGTACACCAAAACTTAACGGAAGCCACCAAATCTTGATATTTACTAAGGCAGTATGTCATCTGATCCTAAAACAGATCTGATCAGCTGGTAAATAATCAACCAGGAATTTATCTAGTGTTTCAAAATTCAGAATAAATAGTGGAAATAAACAAAAAACGACATTACTTAACAAAATGTAGATTCAAATAGAGAAACCACTTTCGTTGTCAATTAATTACACTTTTCAAAGCTGTTAGTCTAAAACGCTAAATAGTAGACCATGGTAGTGAATGCGTTGATTTATGTCCCCCTCTCTCCTGAGATAGTACTGGGTGCCTGTGTCAAAATCAATCATAGTTAATTTTTTAAAAAGAGACTTTGATTACTAAAATATTGTTCATTAAATCAACGCCAATCGATAGTGATTTGGAATTAACTCAAGACAATACGGCGAATCTCTCTTAACTTAAATTGCCGAAACATAGAACTGAAATCTATCACAATATCTAAATTTTAGACTTATAATCCTTAAAAACAGAAATGGCTAATGATTTTCACTTCAAATAAGGCTGAATTATTTTAAAAATTGACAATGATTAGGCAGACCTGAGAAAAGTTTTCCTTGAATATCACTCTGTTTTAATTCTCAATCGAAGTTGACCTAATTTCCTTCCTGCTTTCCTAATTAGATGAAAAAAATTGATCTTTTAGTGATGGTAGTTAGTTTCATTTTTAACCTGTTAATTTGTACTCAAATGATAACTTTATCAATTCTTCTAGCAGCTGATTAGTTTTGACTGATTTATCGAGCAAACCTATAGGGTAGGCTTCCTTCAAATAACACCGTTTCATTGGACTTTAAACAGGCATTACAATTTCTAAATTTCTTTTTCATAATAAACTGGGTAAAATCTGAGAAATTAATTCTTTCTCAACTAGTAAAGTACAGCTAATTGTTGAGGAGAAAACAAGTAAATCCAAGAATTTCCGGTGATGATGATGACGATGATATTAATATGAAAATTTCGGAAAAACCAGAAATGTTGAACTGTTTTCTCTTTCCAAAAGGATTTTCATTTTCATTTGTTTTTATTCCTTTACGTTCCCAGTGGAACATAGGAATCAAGCTAGAGGCTTGAAGTTTCTGTAGCAGTGGTGTTTATTTTTACGGGATGGGGTTGCTAGCCTCATGCTTAAGCTTCCCTCTTTATCAGTCTAATTACTGGCTTAGCGGGGTATAGGAGTGAATCGGCTGGGGATCGAACCCTGGACCACGTAAGTGGTTGGCAAGCATTCTACCGCTGTGCCACCGAGGCGGTCAGCTTAAAATTATTTTATGTATTTATGTAAACAAATACTTAGTAGAACATGAGCATCATGAAATGAGCCACACTAAAAATATAAGGAAAGACAAATAGAATAACTGAGAAAATACAATATGAAAACAGGTAAGTGTACTTTCAAGAGCATTAAATGGAACGTTCCTTTCTTCGTATTGCTTTCGCAAAAAGAAGGAAGCAGTAAATTGCAGAATGCTCACCGGTGACTTCGATTCTCAGACAATTCTGGTAAAGTCTCATGTCACTGATTCGGAGATCCAGAGAGTCATGATAAACCAGCATATGCTGACCTATTACAATTATCCTTCATCTCTTGGCTTGACATCATGAGCCAATGAAATTTTTTCCTTCTTTGTATCCAACCCAAAGGCTGGCGACGTCGAACGATATTCGTAGCACATATCCAAACCACCAAATTCGGCATCCCAGTATGAAATCATTTATAATAAGACGACCCCTTACCTATCCAAACATGAAACGTTGGGCTTCAGAATTACTTATGTAGTGATGCTACCAGATACAATGACTATGAAGAGATAATGATGGTAAAATACGTATAGTCACTGTACATATTCAAAAGTAAGAAACCACGTTTTACAGACCTAAAACTAGACTGAGTGTACTTGTGTGTTGCAAGCACGAATTCCGACGGCTAAACTGGCGTTGTGTGGGAATCACAGGTAGTCCAAGTCGATATATGCCACCGCCAGCACTTACAAAATCACCTAGATACATTAACTCCTTGGTCATTTCTAACGGTTCATTTGAAAGCATGAATGTCAGTGAAGGATGTTGATAAAATTCTCAGGAACACCACTTAATAACAGATAATTCCGAAAGACTGATGTCAAAGGTCATGGCACAATTTATATGGTATATAGTTTTCTACACTAATTTTACATGTGTCCATATGAATTCCCATAATTAAAAAAAATGATAAAAACAGGTAACTGAAAAAATTTGTGAAGAAGAAATCATACTCCTTGTGAATGCGGTTACATGCCTTGACTAACTACAGTTTGAAGTAGAACAAAATGGCCTAACCTTCTGTCTTATTTGTCTTTATAGACTAATTGTTCGAAATAAAGTTGTTGGCCCAGAAGCACATTCATTTCCAAAAGCTGGTAGATCACTGATAATTTGGAATAATCCAACAAAAGACAGTGTGCATAAAGCAGATAACGCAATATGTAAGTAACCTCTTTTTCCCTAAAACTGAGTTTATGTTTGCACTTTTCTTGAAAGCTGTATTTGAATCATAATTGACAAGATCATTTCACTTTCCTAAGCGGCAAATATTTTCCAGTAAACTATTTCTTAACAGAAAGAGGTAACTTTATGAAATTCGAAAATGATATTTTTGTTCAGAATGACGCTAACGGTAATCATGTAAAGAAATAATACACTAGGAGGAGGCGGAGTTACTAACTTTTTGAAAGGAAGCATAGGCCAGTCCGGCTGTACTCCATGAGACAATTTAAATCGACTTATGAAGACTATAAGTGATATGATTCAGAATTTACGGCAGTGGAATAGATGTAATCATATTTTAATTTCATGATCACTTACCATGCGAATACATAGAAGATAACATAAATGGAAGTAAGTTATATAGACTTCTTCATAATGGTATAGAACACTATACTTCCTGACAGAAAAATCTTCCATAGCTTTAATGCTCCCTTTCCATCTTGAAAAACACCAGACAGCATCAGTTGTAGGCTATCTGATTTATATTTCAAAAAGTTACAGTAAATTTATCCAGTTTCAGACAAATTAACATTTCACAAATAATCCCCATCCAGACATTGATGAAAACAAAACACATAGTTCAGTGAAGAGGTTCTTTTCGGAGAATTCATTTTCCCCTTTAGCTATACAATCGTATTTATGCACAATGTGTTTTTCATGAAAGAGAGTAGTAACAGAAGTGATGAGTTGCCACAATCATAGTTGTTAGTGTTAGTCAATGCATAGGAGGATTTGAATAAGTGTTTTATAGTTATGTAATAAGACGAGTGATTTAATGAGTGAGTTGTGATCAGGGTGCACATAAAAAGAAAGGAAATATGGAATTCCATGAGCGTCCTAAAGAAATGCAAGAGTCATAAGGAGTTAGAAAAACAAAACTCAAGTCTAATTCAATTTTACATTTTCCCGTCGATTGATTGGACCGAAGTGCTCGGTCTCAGGTTGACATGTTGGCTTCTTGTGCAGATGCTTCGACGATGTCTGAGCATGTAATTAGAAGTTAATTGATGGATGGTGACTAGCAGTGGAATCCAGGATGCGCCTCGGTGGGAAAATCCTCACTCACTGTCGAATGCAGCTACACCCAGGTGACGAGTCCCAAATAGGACAATATGCGCATCCTGGATTCCACTGCTAGTCACCACCCACCAGTTAAAAATCAAGTGTGTAGAAATCAACAAGGTTGTTACCATGTTAGCGGGAGTGGTTGAATAATTTTCTTTTGTGTGATTATATAGTAACTGTATAACACTGTGTGACTATATCAAAAATTTTTTACCCACAATGGAATTATACTCTACCACAGTGCACAAGTTCTATTCTTATAATACCTTTGTCAGCTGCAGCCTTTTGTGTCCAGTAGGATCTTTCTGAGATATCTGTTTCAGAAACTTCTTATCATTTTACAGAATTAGTAAATATTTATATTTAGTAATACTACTAATGTAGAATCTTTATTGGAATTTATTATGACGAAATTTTCATTCTTCTTCAATTACATCACTCGGATATTGGTGTTCTTTAGACAGTAAATTACTAGAACTAGCCTTTTTTATTTAGTTGTTTGAGACAGAACTTTAAAACTATTGGTCTGAAATTATTGTCATCATTACATCAGACTGGATCCAATGATCTTTTACCTGATTAATTAGATTTTCAAAATGGATTTCGATACTGAGGCCATTAACTTTTCTATTCATGATACAGAATAAATGTCTAAGTGCTATGATCTGTATTTGAACTGTAGATAGTGAGTTACACAACTGAGTAATTAAACATATCAAACGCATAAATTATAGTTTAGTGACAATAGATTAATTTTTCATTAACGATAAATTGATTCAGATTTCTTTTATTTGTACTTACCGCTCATATGATCTTTTTGACTCTTCCACAATTTGGAAATCAGTTAACAATTTGCAATCTACACAGTTCGAATGGTGAAGTTTCACTGTAGTTTCTTTTGGAAAACAAGTTATTCAGATCAAAATATGTGATCTGTTTGATAACATAAATGGTAATTTGTAAAGCAAGCACATCTGCACAGATCTATGAACTACCGATTGATTGAGACGATTAGTTGCATACCCCTCATATCAGTCAGTAGTGTTTCTTAGTCAGATCGAGGTGATCTAAATACTAGATGGCCTTTTTGGTCGTTTGGGGCCGGGCTTATCACATGGTGTGCCTGGTTCGACTCAGTTCACATAGCTGAATCAGTTTCCAAACAAAAATACGGTGATATTAGATAGTTGGAGGTTCAGTGGTAACGTCTCTGACTGCAGCACTGGGTGACGCGGGTTCGAAGCTCAGAAGGGAAATGAGTTTTTTCAAGGTTGCAGATACGCCTTGCTGACTGGTGAATGCCAACTAGCACGAAACCTAGGTCCAAGGCTTTCTGCCGATTGTCTCCAACCATCTAGTATCATCAATTCAATAAGCACCTTGATGGAGAGCCACCTAGAATGCTGGCCACATTGCAAACCTGACTGATAGAATTCAGTCTGCACCAGAAAAGAGGACTAGACACATCACACTAGTTACTAGTGTCAAACCAAAAACTACGGTGAAATTTCATCGCTCAAACTCTGCAGATTGCAAATTGTGAATTTGATTTATGGTATGACTAGTTCGCCCAAGTAGCTAGCCAGAAATCAGGTGGTTTGAAATGATTCGGCTGTCTGAGTTGAGTCAGACTGGGTACAGCGTTGATGAGTCTAGCCTCAAACGGGCGGAACTGACATCTTGTGGTTAGATCTCCTCGATCTGGCCAGCAAGACCACTGGTTGATATGAATGGTGTGCAACTACTCATCTCAATCATTCAGTAGTATATAGTTTTGTGCAAATATGTTTGTGACTCTCACGTATCATGTTGTCTTAAGTAACTTTTAATTTCTATACATAATTATTATCCAAATCCTTAAACAACAAATAATTTGAGAATTTCAGGTGTGTGATTAGTCTGTTTGAAATGCTTCACTTTATCTTATCATTTCATCACATTATTTAAGTTTATCTAAAGGAAAAAGTGTGCGTTGGTGGCACAGCGGTAGAATGCTCGCCGACCACGCCACACGTGGTCCGGGGTTCGATCCTTGGCCAACGCACTTCTTTACATCGCTTAGCTGGTAATAAGCCTGGCAAAGAGGGAAAGTTGGACATGAGGCTAGCAACGCCATCTCGTAAAAATGAATACCACTGCTATCGAAACTTTAAAGCTCCAGCTTGAAGCCCTATATTCTACTAGGAACGTAAAGGAATAAAGAAAAAGGAAAAAGGTGCTTCACTAATTTTAATTTTTTCAAAAAGTAGATTCACTTTAATTAATTTTTTTGAATTTATTTAGCGGCTATCGTGGCATTAACGTTGTTACATGTAAATGAATATGAGGCACTTTCAGTGTAGTATTTTTAAATAGATACAAGTTAAAACAAAGCAATTTGTATTGAGTCTATTAAATGTCCTAGTCGCTTCATTCGATAAAGCTTCATAGCCTTATTGCCTTCTCTACTTAACACTCTACATCTAACCTCATTATTACTCATCATAATGCTCCAACTAATAGGCAAGTTAACGTAAGCACTTTCAGTTAAACCTGTCCAGTCTTTTCATAATGTCCGTTTTTTGGACGTCATATCTCAGTCGTAATGTAGGTCGAAATACCTTGTTATTTAAGCTCAAGGCATTTATTGCGAAAATCTAATTTGATGCCTTAGAATTCGGGGTGAGTCTCTGTTCATTTTGTATTTTCGTCTAATACAGAAACAAAATTATAGTTCACCATTCATCGGGAACAGGCTAATATTTCAGCAGCTTTACGAGCTTTTCGGGAACATTTTAATATTAATTTGTAAAATAAAAATTTAGTATTTCATTTTGGCGCTATTCTTTCATCTGTGAACCTTTTTTTCATTCAATTATTTCAATAAGCTACTGAACAATGAATGAAAAATGACGAGACAAAATTTCAAAAATGACCATATTTGATTGTATTGCATGTGATTTACGTGTAAAAATTTTAAGTCTCATTCATTCCTAATGAAATTAGTTCTATTCTTTTAGAGTTAATTTTTTTCATGACACTGAATTCCTTTGTAATCACTGAGTGTTTTGGACACGACAACTATTCAAATGGTAAATGTTTTTACAATTATAACCATTTCGAAGTAACAAAAAGCGTCTCCATTCGAACAAAGCATAAAAGCATTTATTGAGATTCCAATTATTATATATGTCATGTGAAGTAATTTTATTTTTGGAAATATTACCTAGAAAAGTTGTAATTCTCATTAGTCGGCAGATCTGTGTAACTTGGTTCTATAGATGACGCAGATTTTTCGACTGAACCTGATTACAATGTACAATAAAATTAAAATCAGGTGAAGATCAGTTATCGACTATTTTCCTATATTTAGTAATCACTGAAAATTGTACTGATTTATCTTAACCAGCATCAGTTATGTGAAAATGTGTGTTTCATGTCTAGTGACTAGACTGGACGAAACACTCACACAGTGTGGCCCGGTTTTTAGCATTCTTTTGAATGATTCTGATTATTGATGACAACTGACTTCAAACCATTTGAATCTACATAAATTGTCAATTCAAATGACGACATTAAGACTTTATTATTATTAGTCCTTTGCATTCCTAGTGGGATCTAAGACTTCACCTTATCATCTACACTACACTTAGTTCGCTGCCATCACTTTCACCTAGCTGTACAACTACTTATAAGCTTAAACTTCCTCCACACATGATCCCTTCCATGTCACCCTTGGATACTGTCATCATCATTCCCTATTCGAGTTCCGCTGGAGGGTTTGACTTATGATTTCACTCAGTGGTCACTCAGAGTATCTCTGATTCATCCCCCTTTTCTTCTGCGTATTTCGGAGAACAGATTTTGACTGATTTCCTGCCAGTCAGAGTTCCTT